TGGGAGGTAGAGAGGGGGGTCCGATTGAAGTGTCTGCATGGGTCGAATTCTCACCTAAATTGCTAGGGGAAGGTTAATTTGCTCTGTCTTACTATGTCTTCTTCTTGTTTTGGGTGTCGCTTTCGGTATCTTCTTGAGAGTCTGACTATTACGGCACTCCAAGAAAATACTAGTTAAAGGAACCAGCGATCCCCCGAGCAGTCTTTCTCGCGCACCGCAAAAGTTAAACTCCTGCATGTGCGCTTAAGCATGCTTCCTGTCGAGCTCTGCCTAGAGCCGTCAATGAGTAGATAAGACTACACTACAGATATTTATTTGACGAGCATTTGTAAGCGGAGGGACATGACGTGAGAGTAAGGTATGATCAGGGTGTATTTATGATCTAAATGGATCAGGCCGCATCCCCTTTCCAGTTAAAATTGTGGCATTATGTAATTTTGGGGCTGCATTTTGGAGCATGTGGTATTCAGTGTCACTTCACTGTTGATGATACCTTTGGGTAACTTATCAGATTCAGGAAATCTAAGTCACTTTTAGGAGCTTCATACTTTACAACTACTTCCTCAGATTGCAGTCGGACAAAAGTTGCAAAAAGCTTTCTTCTTCACGCCGTACCCTTTCTTCGCTTTGCAAATGCAAAATGCTACTGATAAAGTTTAATTTGACTTTATGTGATACCCAGAGTAATGCTGGCGGCTACGGCAAGGTAGCCCCATCCATACCTTAGCTTCATAAAATGAGGGTGATGGATGGCCGAAATAGTGAAGATGCAAAATCGAAGGTCTAAAAAATTCATGGCCTATCATTAGTAAGCAAACCAATCGCCTATTTTCTTCTAAAGAGAAATTAATACGAGGAGCAGCACTACACTTAAACGATTCACCAACGTTTATTATGGAACTGCTTATGGCACTTGCTTGAGGATATGCTCTATTTGCATGAAAAACTATACCTCCTAAACTCTGCCAGATGTATGGAATTTTGACTAGTGGCCTTGTGACTAGAAATAAGTGTCAAGGAGCAGTAGATGTCGAATATTGGCTCTATAAAGCTGCATTATATCACGTCTTTCTATTAAATGACTGGTTCTAGCGATTGGAGAAATAAGTATTATTGTTGTAAGAGATCAGTCACGCTCAAACAGCGCAAAGGCTGTAAGTATTCCACTCCAGATGAAGTTGTCAATGGGTGCAGAACCCTGCGTTCAGTAAAATTAATGAGATATATCCTTAATGTTGAAACTCAAGTGCCTTTCTACCCGCTCATGAAACTGTATTTACTACCGTTCTGATCTGGGGGGTAGTGTTTGGTGAATAGACTTCTTGTCGATATCCGGAGGAGAGGATTGACTAAGGGAAGCCCTGAGGCCGATACGTAAACGGAGAAGGCTTACGAAGAGATTCGTTGTTTACTTTAATCGTATGTTCAATTACGTGAGCTCTTCAATCGTACCCTTTTTGTGCATTTATTTAATCTTTTAGCCAAATGTTACATAACGGTAAGGGTTATGACAACTTCGAGAGCGAACCGAATTACTATAACTTAAAAATATGCTCAGTAACTTAAAAGAAAAAAAACAATAATATTTTATAAGGGCTTTAGATATTAGCTGGCCGCATTGGTAATCGGATAAGAGCAGAACATTTCTGAACATGATTAGAGTTATTTAATGGTTTTTTCAATGCCAATTTTGACCCTTTTAGTTTTTTGCCAAAGCACTGATGTTCTTTGTTCTTTAATTTACAGAAAATGGGGCGATTTTATACACGGGTCTTGGGGTGTCTGCCCTCTAATTTAAACGACATTAAAAAGAAACGAAAGAATGCGAAGAGATCACCTTGTGATAAAACAAATGCATCTATGCCTATACTTCTCCGTATGTATTTGCTAAAATATACATATGTAAATTTACTTTCGTGAACTTCGTGCTGTTATATGAGTTAAAGCACCATGGGCCAAATCAACACCAGTATCTAGCTTTCTAATAACATCGTTGAATTTCTTCATTATCCCGCGTGGTCGTGATTTTTGTCGATTGATTACTCAGGGCACACCGCATTTGCTATACCAGTGTAGTGTTTTGAAAAGGTTAAATAAACTCATAGAAGACCCCATGAGAGAACTTTGAGCAAATGAAATTATGCTTTTGGTGCACATCTCTTTAATGTCGATGAGGTAAGCCAAATGATAAAAAAAGATGGTATTTATTCTTTGGCATCTTGAACTTAGCTCCAAAAGTTAGTTAATAAAACAAACTCCCTTTCTGCATAAAGAAAGTAGCAACCGTTCTCACATAAAAAGCAACTAATGCATTCACCGTCGAGGGCTTTGAGGAAGACAAGTTGACGATAAAAATAAGGTAGCTATCTTTGGACCACAAGTACCCTACCGGCTTCATTTATTTCACGGTGCGTAATCCAATGCAAACGAAAAGGAAGAACATGCCACATAATTGTCATTGGCAGTAAACGTGTTAATCAATACCCACTTTTTTGCTTCGCTTACATTCGTTATTAGATCTGTAAATTAATTTGCGTTACCATTAACTGCACAATATCATAAGTAAGTACCTAAGCTTTCAAGTCGGAGGGCGACTTTCTCTATCTTCCTTTTCGAACCACAGGAAAGAGAAGCTATCGCAAATTTATTGCTTCTGCAAATGTAAAATATTCGCGTTTGTTGCTATCTACAGCCTTCCTTTATTCCAAAACGTAAACTTAGTTGCTGCAAAAACATAGAAAAAGAATATCTTATAAGTTAGGATTACAAAATTCGGGATTTATTTGGATTAATACAAATAAAATAGCACATTTTTTATATCTAAAATAGACACAAAGTTGTAATAAGTAACTGCATATTTTTAGCGAATCAAAAAACTTGTCTCATCAGTTGACCTGACAGTTGGAACACGTGGTAAGCGATCATGTGTTTTCTCTCACGAAATCAGCTGATGTCTTTATCGATCGCCGTCTGTGCAGCTGATCATTCAGCCACCCAAGGTTTTATCGATTTTTTGCGTGGAAAGTTAGTCAGCTGACCGGCTGACTATATATCGATTGCTGCACAGATGTTGGACAGCTGGTTCTCATGTGTGGCGCCCGTTACAATGGAGTATTTGTATTTGGACTACATTTTTAGCATAATTTTTTCCTCAAAACTTTATAAATCATTCTAAGAAAAGCGATTATGGGCAATAAAGCTTATTGAAATTATGCTCGGTAAACCCAATTTATTAAAAGAGCTTAAAGTTAAAATGCCTTAATTAAACTAAAGACCAACAAATTTGAATAAAATAGATCAAGTTAACTGCCATAAGTGCAGATTTATGCATAGGCAGGCATAGCACGCACCTAGACGAATCAGTTCCGAGGACAAAAAATGATATCAATCAGGAGGTTTTGAGGCTGCACAGAAGGCTTTAGTCGAGACACGTCACAGAAACCAGTATAGTCTTATTTTTTATCTCAGTCTTTTTTTGGCGTGATGTAGGAGGGTCCCCAAATA